CACAGAGGAGAGATATTGATTGGCTTCATGCTTGGCTTCCTGTTTGTAATACGTGTCATGACATTCAGCACTCTCATTTCGATTGGCAGTTCTGCTACTTCTTGCACTGTTTACCAGACGCCCTGGTCTTAATTGTTAGTGGGTAGTGCTTGCCGAAGGGTGACTTATTCCTGACTATTGGCACATATTCATGATTCGCATTCATCTTGTTAAATGTTGGAAAGGATTATTTTCAAAAAGAAGTTTTAACTGAGTCCAGATTATTTTTCTAAAGATTTTCACGTTTACTGTTTCTCAAGATTTGCACAATGTCTTATTTATAGCATGATGGAGTGCCTTGTACGTGATTTTTACGCTCAAGTTTATTATTTACTTTATTGCGTCACTGGATGGAAAGTCACTTCATTTACTCCCTGACCTCTGCGTCTTGCAGTTGCAGGTATTCTGTTCACCGTAGCGGGTTATAAGCTTATTGAAGGGTACTACTCTTGTAGCTGATAAGGTGACCGCCAGGTCGCGGCACCGGACGTTGTTTTAGCATTGCCAAATTTATTTTTATATATGGCATTATATTGTCGTCTTGCATGCTCGCATGACTTGACCCCCGTGCTTGGTCAGGTATTCTCTTATAACGATCCTGACTTTGATACCCGTTCCCGGTGTAGTATTTGTTGGTCATTTAAATAAATGAGTTTTTAAAATTGCTTGAAGGTATCAATGTTCTGTTCATTTGGCCTAGTGCCTTTCATTCACAGAATATGCATCTCGATACATGACGACGTATTTGGGTTCATTGCCATGGCACTGTTCAATCGAGTAGGCTGATCAGACGCGGGTTCGATAGAAAGTTCAGCTTAAACTGTTAGGTATAAGCGCCCACTTACTGGTCTACGATTGTATCCCATCGGAGAACGCGTATTATCTGAGAGGCCGGATTAAAACTTATGCTTGGGTTATCGTGCGGTATAGACATTTGGTTGTAAATATTATTACCTCCGAGTAAGGCATCTCAGAACCTTAAAACTTACATTTCTTGGAATTCATACTTGACGTATCTTTAACTCAGTTCTTGAGAAAACTTTGTAATCCACCAACTAAAGTCTGTACATGCGACACGAGCGGTCAGTATTACATGTGCTCGTGACTTATGGTTTGTGATTCCCCGCCATCAGAGTGGCGAGATGTAAATCTTCGTGGGCTTGTTGGGCCATCATGTACAGACTTGACGATATCAATTTCGGAGGATCTTGGCTCCTTGGCTTGAGCACTGAGGTGCTTGATTATGTGAGCAAGTGGTTGAACTTATTGTTGGTATTGTCCTTATTAGCCGGAATGGCGTTGGGTATCCATGATTGATTTATTCATATTAGTAATGCGAGACATATCTATTTATGACAAATCTTCGATAGTGACGAAGATGATTGCTGTCCATGGATAAGTGAATGAACTGATAAGGTGCTTCGTCTTACCTGTGTGTAGATTCTTGATCTGTAAGCAGAGTTCATGCGGCAGTTGAATCAGTATGCTTCGTCCAGTCCTCTCCTCGTCTAGGTTAGCTGAAGTATATATTCTAACATGTACCAGGGTGAATTGAGTTTAGAACTCAAGCGAAGACCTAAGCTTGATTGTGTAATGTGTTGTATGAGGTTCGAAGATATACAAAATGTTAATTGGAGGCAAAGCAGGTGAGGTTATTTCCGTGACAGGGAAAATCCTTGTTCGTTGTGTCTTTTCCATATTTGAGAGTAGAGAGTGTCTCTTTTCCATCTCACTAACGCAGGGTTGTATGTGTTTGAGATATTGAATTCTCAAAATGACTCTAATTGAGAAAAGTTGAGTTCGATTGTTCACAACAGAAATGAAGGTCGAAATCTTAGTTAGTGGAATTGGAGGTTATTTTATATGGTCGTGTGTTATTCCTAAGTCTCTGATTGAAGAAGAATTTCTTTTGTATGA